TATAAATGAAAAATGGGGGAAAAAAATGGCGGGAAAAATAGGAATCTTCTTCTGCGAGTGTGTTTCACTTAATTAATGATAAATTATATAAACCAACCAACCGACCTGCCGGCTAGTTCTATTAAAAAACTATTAGTAATAATGATGATAATAATGATGATAATAATGATGATAATAATGATGATAACACAAACATCAGCAGGATGGGATGGGTTATTTTTAGATGCGAATTAATAAAAATAGATGCATCACAATCTCGCATTAATTGCAAACGCTATGAATTCTCGATGTGGCACACTCACACACGCACACGCACACACACACTCACTTACTCACACACACACGCACACACGCGCACACACTCACTTACACACACACATGTGTTCACGCACCTTCATGTACATACATGTACTCGTGTGATGATGCTTGCTTCAAGTTTGAGTACGATGATGATGGTTGATAAGTAGGAAAAAAATAATGACGATGATGATGAGGATGGTGAGGATGATGATGGATGAGTAAGGTGATGAGGGTGATGAAGTTATGTTAGTGATGTTCGGCAGATACACAGGCAAGCACACGGTTCAGAGATTAAAGCCAGAGACATGCGCACTTTATCGTTCGGAGGATTAGTTCCCAATGTTCACATCACGTTTCTATGTTTGTTTGTTTGTTTGTTTGCCTGTTTGTAGTCGTTTGTATCTTTTTAATGTTTATATGTTTGTACCTTCAAGTGATCAGATCAAGTGTTATTTTTGTAAATTAACATGTTTAAATATAAGTTTGATTGTATTTGTGTGTGTTTGTGAACGTGTGCGTGAGTTTGTGTTGGTCTGTGTATTTGCGCTTTTGTGTCTGTGTGACTGTGTTTTTGTGTGTTTTCAGCTTAAGATGAACAGCTGTGCTTGCGGGAATTGTCTGTTAATTTTTTTGTATTATCTCCATTTATATTCTTCTCGCTGATGTATAAACGTTGGCTGTTATGATTATTTCGTTGGTATCATTTTAAAACTCTGATTTGTTAGTATTGTAGAGGGTTATACTCTCAATTTACTTTTAAAATTTGCAATCAAAATCGTATCGAGAATACTCACAAAAGTGTTGAACGTGTGCACAAATTGGATATCTTCAATGTTTCTTCTCAGTAGGAGAGTGATAATTTTCCTTCAAGAGGCATATTTGCTGGCAAGGATTGGTGATTTATTGAATAATCGCATGCTGGATAATTCCTATTTTCTATTTATCGTGTTTGGAGACCTTCGATTTTAAAATGCAATATATGAGCCTTTATTATTGATAGAAACATGTGGCTGTTGTGGCCTGTTTTGCTACTTCTTCATAGAAACATGTGGCTGTTGTGGCATGTTTTGCTGCTTCTATGTGTGGCTTTTTTATGCTGTTTTTGTTGTTGGGGTTTTGGGTTATAAAATTGCGTGTCGTTAGTTTCTGTAATTCATTTTATGTCTTGGCGTGATTGGGACAGGAGTGGTGATCCATGCACGTCACATTATAATCAATTAAGATGTTTGTGTTTGTCTATGAGTTACAGCAACGTTTTCGTACATATTTTTTATTGTATTAAGTTGGAATTAAAATGTTTTATAAGGTAAATTCAACTGATGTTGAGCTAGATAACAAAGGTTTAACTTTTTGAAAGTCTTCAAGTCTAAAGGCCTACCCGAACTTGTTGCTTACATGCAATTGGAAGACTCGTGTACGTGCCAGCATATAAGGTAGTGTGATTCAGTGGCTGATTATTATGTTCAGTGGCTTTGCTTTTGGGCAGAGGGAAAATAAAGATAAAAAAAATACAGAGAATGACGGGAGATAGAATCAACAAAATTTGTGAGTTTAAAGAAAAACCGGAAAAAAAGAGAAATAAAAAGTGAGGAAGATGAAGAGAGAAAGAGAGAGAGAGAAAGAAGAGAGTGCCTAGGCGTCATGTACATTACTTACCTGGCTCACTTTATGTCTCACTTAACATAAATTCATAGTGCAACCCGTCATAAAGCACCATCCGCAGACAGTTAATACGCACATACACATGCCAGTTACTTCATACATGTGTATATATATATATATATATATCCATTAATATATATATATGTATATGTCCAATAATGCAGACGATTTTACAAATAAGCGTGGCTACGTAGGTGCGTTCATCTATTGGCATCCGTTTTATGCTTATTAAAATACAAATGTGATAATGATAATATAAAAAAGTTGAACAATGTTGAAAGTAGTGTTGAATTTTTGAAATATATATATATATATATATATATATATATATATATATATATATATATATATATATATAAGTGGGATACTTGTGCACAAGTGATAATATGGCCATACCTGAAGAGGAGATAAAACAAATCTCTCACCTACAATCAAAGCTTTATTAAGCAAGCAAACAAACATTTTGTCAATTACATACACATTCGCAAACACATACACGCACACACATGAACACACACATACACGCACACACACACACATACACGCATACATACACACACGCACATACACACTCACGCACACTTACATACATATATACCTATTTAGCATGTACTAAAAATAATCAGAGTGACATTCTTTGAACCCCTTCGATAAAATACTTAGATACGTAAAAATACGTACACATGCACAGGCAAACACGTACAAACACGTACAAAACATACACACACGTACATAAAACCATACACGACGTAGTGTTTATAATCATAACCAGGCATACATTCTGCATGTTGACATAAATTTGAGCGGTGTAAAATTGGCACCGAACCCGCAACAACCGCAGGAATCGAGTGTGTTTGAAAGATGCAACAACCATACAATTGTGATACAAATAAACGTATAATACAAATACGAATGTGATACAAACACGCATACAAAACAAATAAATGCAAACGTGATACAAACATACATACAGTACAAATACAAATGTGATACAAACATACATAATATACAAATAAATACGAGCGTGATACAAACATAAAACAATACTTGAACAGTTCGATGCCCTATTATACAAATTTACATACATACATATACATACATACAAACATATATACATACAAGCTAGCACATAAAAACATACACACAAACCCATGCAAACAAACATGTATACATACACATACAAGCTAGCACATAAAAACATACATGCAAACACACATACAAACATACATACAAACACACATACAAACACACATACAAACATACAAACAAACACACATGCAAACATACATAAAAACGCAATGTAGTGACGGTATGATCAGATCATGCGCGCGTACTTATTTACGTAGAATGGCGTACGTACAAGCAGCACATGTTAATAATGCAATTATCTTTTCTTCTTCATTCCTATTGCACACTTTTGCGGACTCCATTCCTTTCCATGCATCACGGAATGATGAGTCAGCATTCTGATTTATAATTTCATTCTTTCATCTGTCAATTTTTTTCTTTGTTGACTTGTTCATTCATTTATTTGTTCATTCATTCATTCATTTATTCATTCATTCATTCATTCATTCATTCATTCGTTCATTCATTCATTCATTCATTCATTCATTCATTCATTCATTCATTCATTCATTCATTCATTCATTCATTCATTCATTCATTCATTCATTCATTCATTCATTCATTCATTCATTCATTCATTCATTCATTCATTCATTCATTCATTCATTCATTCATTCATTCATTCATTCATTCATTCATTCATTCATTCATTCATTCATTCATTCATTCATTCATTCATTCATTCATTCATTCATTCATTCATTCATTCATTCATTCATTCATTCATTCATTCATTCATTCATTCATTCATTCATTCATTCATTCATTCATTCATTCATTCATTCATTCATTCATTCATTCATTCATTCATTCATCCATGGTTCGATCCAGCCATCAATCAATCAAACAATGAACGAAATCAAACAATGTGTTGGCTGCTGTTGACGTTTTCATCCAATCAATTGAGCATTGAACATTCGACATGTTTCTTCAATCAATCAATCAATTAACTCCTCCATCAATCCTTCCGTCATTTCACTCAAAAGACTGGAAAAGAACCATGTGAATGCCACGTAGTCATGTGAGCGTGAGAGAGAGAGAAAGAATGAATGAAGTGAGAAAAAAAGAGTTAAAAAAGAGACAGACAGACCAACAGACAAACAAACAAACAGACAAACAGACAGACAAAAACACAACAAAATGACCAAATGAGGCAGAATTAAAAGAAGAGCGTGAGAAAGACAAAAAGAAAAAGAAAGAATACTCACACGTATATATAAATGAATACGATTTAGCATAAATGTGAATGCGTGAGTGTAAATAATTTTTGTTTCAATTCAATTCATCATTTTTTTCAACAACGATTTCAAATTATGAAACTTAACAATTTTTTCGTATTATTTTCAGAATGAAATGACGTACCTTGTATGAATTTTGTAGCCATGGTGGCAAAAGTTTTCAATGCTCCAAACTACAATCGCAAAGAAAAACGTCGATATTGAAGAGTAACGAAGGCAACAACATTACAAACATTAACACCTACAACAGCCACAGTAGTAGTAGTAGCATCAACAGCAACAACATTAACCTCAATTTAACAAATGTCGCTATCCCTTTGGCGTCTTAATTGGATGAATGGAGTGAATTGTCATCAAAATTGAAAACATCATTTGTGATATCTGGGGAAAAAATCATTTTCAACAACTTTAAAAAAAATTTTTTTACGAAAATAAAATTGCAAGTAACAACAAAATTGTTATGAATAAAATATAATCAAAAGAAATAACAGAGAACGTCGTTAGAACCAAGTTTATTTTAAATTCCAAACAAAAAATACCCAAGAACATCTGCAAAGTATTACAGAAACAACAACAACGACGACACCACCACCGCCAACAACAACAACAACAACAACAACGACAACTTCATCGTCAGCAGCAGCAGCAGCAGCAGCAGCAACGTCGTCCAAGATGGCTTCAGTGTCGGCCTGGTTGCCCTTCGTACGAGCCACAGGAATCGGGTGGGTGCCCATAGCCAGGAATCCCATCCCACCCTCGCCTGTCCCCAAAGACAAACTCAAAGTAACTTGTAGATTTTAAATATTTTTATTTTTATTTAATTGGATTATAAAAGAACAAAAAATTAGACAGCAAACAGGTGAAGCATAAAAATGTTGTGGAATGTTTTTAAAATGTGAAAAAATTTAACATGAAGTGCATTATCTTAATGTAAACATGGAAGAATTATAAAATTTTTTAGGTTAGATTGGCACAAAAGTATATATGCAATATGTTTGATAAGTTACTCTAGAAAATAAACAGAAAAGAAAGCATCCAGTAACACATAGAAGCATTCAGTCAATTTTTCCAACACAAAACTTTTAAAATACTAACTAAGCAATGGCAAAAAATGAACCACATAGCGCCAGCAGGTAAAATAAATTTTAAATTTATTTGAAGGCTGATTCGAAAGTGAAGATAAACGTAAGTGGCCACGTCTTCGAGACATGGAGGCACACATTGGACAAGTTCCCTGATACTCTGCTGGGCTCAGACGAGAAGGAGTTTTTTTATGACGAAGTATGTGTTTGTGTGTGTGTTTGTGTTTGTGTGTGTGTGTCTGTGTGTGCGTGTGAGCGGTGTGTGTGTGTGTATAGATGGGCGTGTGATGCAAGTAAATTAATCTGTGTTTGTGTTGATGGGTATGTGTGTAGACGAATGTATAATGTAAAAGTTGCTCGCATACACTTTGGTGCCGTTCTTCAGGTTTTGTGCGTTTATATTGTAAAACAGTATGTACATTGTACATGTTCATAGATTGAAGTATGTGTAGTCTATATGCAAATAATGAAATGGAAATTGTTTTACATGTTTTGTTTCTTATAACAAGGTGACAGATGAATACTTCTTCGATCGAGACCCAGAGACTTTCCGACACATTTTGACCTACTATAGAACTGGCAAACTTCACTACCCGCGCCACGAATGTCTGACGTCATTCGAGGGCGAGATGTCCTTTTTTGGCATTCAGAGTGACGTCATAGGGGACTGCTGCTACGAGGACTACAGGGATCGGAGGAGGGAGAACCAGGAAAGATTAGCCGATGATCAGGTGGGTGGTTTTTGGTTATGGCTAGAGTTTGGGTTCACGTTGTTATGTTTGTTGTTTGCGATAGTGAACATGGACAAAATAGACAAACGGATTTCTTAAAATTTACTTTTTTTGTTGAAATTTCGAAAACATTTTAAGATATGCAAATATTTTAAAAATATTCAGGGCGAAAAGGATGTTGGCTGTTACTTTAAATTAGTTCGTATTTGGTAAAAAGTTTTTTGCCCCATAAGTTGCTCACGATAATAAAAATGATATGGTATAAGGAATGTGAGTATGGGTGACATTAACAATGATACAATACAATATACAATAAATACAAATACATAAAAACATACAATATACATAAATAAAAATAAAAAACCAGAATATCAAACGTTAGTATGTTAAAAAACTATCATATCAATAATTGATTATTACGATTCTGATTAATATCATATTATTTGAGTGCGGCCATGATAACAACAATGATGACGACGACGACCATGTTGTTTTTGGTAGCGGCAATCCTGATAATGATGTCGACGATAGTGATGATGATGATGATGATAGTAATGATGATTCCTCTAGTACAACAGTTCTAGTAATTCCAGTGCATATCTGCGTAGAAGCAAGGAAAATAATTGAATGGACCACCAATGTAATTCCCCGATCGAACGTCTTTAAAATAAGTTTGCAGCAGCAGCAACAACAACAACAACAATTACATCAACACTGATCACAGCAATTGCGTCAACAATAACAACAACAATCTCATCAACATAACTACAACTAAGAGAGAGTGAATAAAACAGAGAGGCAGAAAGACAGCGAAAAAAATTGTTGTAAAGAGATAAAAAAAATGAGATGAAATGGAAAAAGAAAGAAAAAGTAAGACGAAAAAAAAAGAAAAAAAGAAAGAAAGAGAGAAAGAGAGAGAGAGAGAGAGAGAGAGAGAGAGAGAGAGAGTAAAACTAACAGGAAGCATGATTGCACACGTACAGACAGACAGATAGAAATTAATTGGATTAAGAAAAAGTTATGAAGCCAGGCGGTCTTTTGTAACGAGATGATAAATCGTTGAAAAACTTGGGAAGAAGAAGAAAGAAATATGAATGTTCGCCGTTTCAGAGTTTCAGATATGCAAAATGAAACTGAACTAATCCGAAAATATTATCTAAAATTTAATGAACTAATTAAAACTGGTAATTGAATGGGACGACATCGGCATGTATTGTATTATTATTAATTAACATATCAGCGTTTTAATAAGTACATGAAAATTCTTGCGAGAGGATTGCTCGTTAATCAAAGCGCTAAAATTGGCTCAATTAAATAAATTATTAAAAGACACACGCAAACACAAGAAACTCGCTGACACAATCACACACGCGCACACACACAAATAAATACATTGTTATACAATGTCTCTCACATTATTATTGTTATTGTTATCATTATTAACATAGTTGCATTGTTATTTGCATAGAAATCATGGTAGGAAGAAGTAAATTGAGCTCAAGATGGTTGGATAATCTGTTTAGGCAATTCTATATCTTCTGATTGCAAATTTCTTTTTCCTTTTTTAAGTTTTTTTTATTTTTTGTCGTTTTGTTTGTTGTTTTGTTGATGTTGTTGTTTGTTATTGCTTGCGGGTTTGCAATCATTGAATCATTGTACGTCGTGCGATTTATTGTATGTTTGTTGTATGTGTTTTGTTTGAGTATTGTATTCTGTTGTATTCGTGTACTGTATGTTGTGTGCTAGTATTGTATATCGTTTTAATTGTATTGTATGTTGGTTTTTAGGTTTGTTTTGTTACGCCTAGTTAATCAGTTTAGGGATAGTTTATGTTCTTTGAAAAGAGTTTGTATCATGTTATGGTTTTTATATATTTGCATATATATGCGAGTGTTTGCAATACATTCATTCAAAAATCGACAAACAAACAAAAGAACAAACGAACGAACGAACGAATGAATGATGACAATATTTCAGACGGTTCTCTAATTGGTTTTACTGTCATCAATATAGAGCGACATCTTATGATGCTACATGCCTGCACTTCTCTGTGACAAGAATGATGATGATGATGATTATGACGGTGATGATAATGATGGTGGCTATGATACAAACTCACGCACGCACATACGCACACACATATAGACGCACACACATAAATACAGATGCTTACTCACAAACACACAAACACACAAACAAGTACATACCCACATGTACAATCAATGCATCACGAAGCAGCCAGCGTCCAACGAAGAAACGCTGTCGTTCTGTGGTAACTGTGGCAACAGTCGTCTTGGCAATGAGCGCGTGAACATCATCAGTACGATTAATCTCCACTGAAGCAATGTTTATTCTGATGCGTTACTCTGTGTTTGTATGCTAAATTCTCGGTTTTTATGGCCGTATGTTTGCATATCTGTTTGTTTGTTCGTTCGTTCACTTGTTCGCACGTTCGTTCGTTGGTTTGTATAACATGTTTGTATAACAGTTTGCAGCTGCGTGTTTGTTCTGTAGTTTGTTTGCGTGGTCGTGTGATTTCATGTTTCGTAAAATTTTACGACTTTTTGAATAAATAACATACATGTGCATACATATAGTATGCACGCACATGTAAACCGCAACATCACAACGCCAGTAAGCAAAAGCATTTTCAACACAAAAAAACATACATACAACACAGGTGTGCTTGAAAAGTTTATTTCCAAAAGAACAAAATTAAAGAAATCAATAAAACGTCAATGGAAAAACAAAATTCAAAGCAGAAAATCTGTCTGCAAGCAAAGCGACAATGGACAGGATGTGTTGTGTGACATATTTTGACGCACTGACACAAACAAACACACTCACACATACACACACACACACACACATACACATGCATACACATAAAAAATTAAAGATGCAAAAAGAGTAAGAGAGAAAGAGAGAGAGAGAGAGAGAGGGAGGGAGGGAGAGAGAAACCTCAAAGCATGCGTATTAGTAGTTTCAAAAACATTTCTTAAATTCAAAAACCCACATCCATATGCACACACGCACACACGCACACAAAACATACAAATACCTTTGTAAGTTATTGATTCGATGTTTCCATACAAATTCGTTATGTCAAAAAAACGCATATATATTTATCCATTAGTGATTGTATACAAATCTAAATATTTCACTTGCATATACCCGTACATTTACAAACACACGTATGTACATACACGCACATACACTCATATACAAAACACAGACATACTCCCACATACACCGATAAAATACAATACACATACATACACTAATATACAATACACATACATACAATAATATAAAACACATACAAAGTCTTCTCGTATGAATTTTTTAAATTTATTCCATTGTTTACATGAGAAAAAACAGTGCATACTCGCGTACACACGCACCATTTGACTTCAAACGCCAACCAACATAGAGCTAATTTAAATGCATTGAATAAAAAATTCATTTTCTTTCAGATTGTCGGCTGCTCTGGTCACAGAAATTGTTGTTGTCGTGTTGTTATTTTGTGGTTTTGCAGATCTCAACTTTGTTTCTGTTTGTTTTTTTTTGCTATTTTTTCCAAATTTTTTATGTTTTTTTGTGAAAAAGTTGTTGATGTTGGTGTGGTTGTTTGCTTGTTGTTTTTGTTGAAGAATTTTTTAAGCTCTTACGTATTTTAACTGGGTTGTTGTTGTCGTTGGTTTAATTATTGAACGTATGTTAACTGTGTTGTTGTTGTTGTCGTTGGTGTAATTATTGATTCAACGTAAGAAAAACTCACCCTCTGTGGATGGGAACGTCGCATGGCCTCAGCCGTTTAAATGACTACAAAAATCCAGTAACGAATCTTGGAGTCATACTGAATCCTAATTTTTCATTTGTAAAACATATTAATCAACTTTGCCAGATATGTTTCTACCAACTCCACTGAACAAGATCTATCAGACGTTTTTTGGCAGTTAAGTCAACAAAAGCACTCGTTTGTAGTTTTAACCGTTAAAGAATGGTCTACCGCAATACGATTATGTTAGGTGTCAACTTATACTCTGAGAAATTGATATTACTACTAACACTACTATCACTCATCTTCATCATCGTCGTCGTCATCATCATCATCACCATCATCATCATCACCATTATTATTAGTATTATTATTATTATCATAATCATAATCATCACCACGGCGTATGACGTAGGACCCAGAGGAAACGGAAAAGCGCCACCCATGTGAGACGGTGCGTGAGAAGATGTGGAGGGCCTTCGAGAACCCGCAGACGAGCACCCCGGCCCTCGTATTCTATTACGTCACTGGCTTCTTCATCGCCGTCTCTGTAATCAGGTGTGTTGTTGCGTGTGGTTGTTGCGTGTGGTTGTTGTGTGTGGTTGTTGCGTGTGGTTGTTGCGTGTGTTTGTAGCGTGTGGTTGTTGCGTGTGGTTGTTGCGTGTAATTGTTGCGTTTGTTATCAGGTGTGTTGTTGTCGTTGTTGGTGTTGTTTACCATCAGGTGTGTTGTTGTTGTGTTGTGTTTGTTGTAGTTAGGTGTGTTGCTGGTGTTATTGTGATTTTTTTTTTCAATTTTCCATACGATGTTTGTCCAGTTGTATTTTTTATCGATTAGTTTGTTGACGCTGTTTAAACAAATTTGTTTCGCTTATTTCATTTATGCGCTTTCTTTAAGGTTTTATAGATAAGTATTCTAATAAATAAATAAATAAAAATAATAATAAATAAAGTTAAAATATTTTTGTGGCTGTAATTGAAGTTCAAGTTTAGGTTGTACTAGTGCGGTACAAAACTATGATTCATAACTATTGTTCTTTCTCAGTTATTTTTGATATGATTTTTTTATTATTATTGACACAACTTACGATTGTAACATGCAACAACACGCAATAAAACATACAAAAATATTCTGACACACTCACGAGGAGAAAAAGAAACCCGAGCACGAATCACGTGTCACCTCAATAAAGAAACATAAACACACGCCATTCATGCAAGCAGCGACGAAACACTTTGTAGCAGGAGAATAAAAATAAATCGTAAACTTTGCAAACCACCGGCACAATAATCACGAACGTAAAGACATTAACAATCTGAAAAACATTAACAACCCGAAAGACATTAAAAACCCGAAAGACATTAACAACCCGAAAGACATTAACAACCCGAAAGACATTAACAACCCGAAAGACATTAACAACCCGAAAGACATTAACAACCCGAAAGACATTAACAACCCAAAAGACATTAACAATCCGAAAGACATTAACAACCTAAAAAACATTAACAACCCGAAAGACATTAAAAACCCGAAAGACATTAACAACCCGAAAGACATTAACAACCCGAAAGACATTAACAGCCCGAAAAACATTAACAACCTAAAAAACATTAACAACCCGAAAGACATTAACAACCTAAAAAACATTAACAACCCGAAAGACATTAACAACCTGAAAAACATTAACAACCCGAAAGACATTAAAATAAACATTTCTAAACAATCACACAGTACAGAGTTCATAAAAAACAGTATTAACGTAAACATATTCCTGGTGTCATCAGTCAAACGTACATCAACATAAACATATCCATAAGGCCATCAGCCAGACAATAGAATACATCAACATTAGCATACATCAACATCAATTCATCTGCCCAGCATCAACATAGGAAGCATAATAACGAAAGCAACTGCAACCGTAATTTAGCAAAATGAATATATTTTCTTTAACAACATTAAAGTATAAAGAGAACAACAACATAATAATAATCTAGGACAACAATACATATCATCTTAAACAAATCTAGAACAACATACAAACTAAACTAAACACTGACAACACTATCAACGCCGACAACAACTAGCAAACACACAACCAACATTACCAACCCCAGTCAACACACAACCGCAAAACAACAGCG